TCTAACCACTTTGTCATGTCCCAAATTTCTTCTCTGGCGGTCAGGATTATTTATTTCAATAATTTTCAAAACTAAATACCACAAAAACCAAGTTAACTTTACTAAATATTGAAAGCACCTAATCGCAAAAGTTGGTTGCAATTTCAAAGTATTAGTATTTATTTTTCAAAAACATTTACACATAGAAAACTCATCCTTTTTTGAATGTAAGTATCCAAAACTACTATACAGGGTGTCCCAATACTTAAATATATCGAAAAATCAAATAAAGAAAAACTTTTTGTCACTTTTAATAGTGCCGCGCTAATTTTTGTGCAAAGTGTATTTCTGAAATGAGAAATCTTTTAGAAATTCTAGTTTATTTTTAATATATTATTAGACTAAAAAAAGACATTTAAAAATATACATGTTTAATTAAAATACACAAAACTCAAACATTGATTCTTAAACAAACAAATAAATAAATATGTTTTAAAGAATATTTCATAAAATATAGAAGTGAATTGCTTCATTGCCACCAATTCCTTTAAATGCACTAATTTGAAACAACTAGGTTTTTTTTAATAAATGCTTCAAGTAAAGAAACATTTACGATTATTATAATCTAATCATTAAAATCAGTTAGCAATTTTATTATTACCTAACTTATCTAGGGATGAAAACCTTCATAAACTAAGAGTACTCACTATATAGTGTACTTTTAGAGTCTAATTATTTAGTTACACTACCGTTAACCGAACTATACTATGTTTTAATCTAACATCACTGAACTAACTCAAAAGGCCTGGTTCTCTTGAGTCTTATTAGATTGGCATTGTTGAGGGGCTGGATAATCTCAAGTTTTCCATGTTGGAGCAGTCGTTGTTGGTAACTAGTGGCAAATATTTGTATTATATGTTCAACAGTCTTCACTTTAAGGTCCCTATGAAGATCAGTATTACAGCAGTGCCAGGATGCATCGACGATGTTCTTTAATACTTTATTCTGGAAACGTTGAATAACTTGGATGTTATTTTTACTGACACAGCCCCAAAGCTGGCAAATTGCTTCATTTCCACCAATTCCTTTAAATGCACTAATCTGAAATAAAATATTGGTAATTAAAAAGGATTTATACAAATTATTTAATTAACAATAGTTTTAAAAATATTGTTCTAAATTAACTATAATAAAACAATACTTATGTCTAAACAAAACATGAAGATCCACCTAAGCCAGCATTATTTATGTAGTTCTTAGCTTAATTTCTAAAGACATATTCTGCTTCCCATACAACAAGTTCACAACGCATGAATATCAAAAACCAACAACTCGAATCTATAATTATTTAGAATATAGGCTTGTTTCTAGCTGGGGCTGGACAGAGATACGATAAAATAAAATAACTACATTTCCCATCTTCCTCTTACAAATCAGAAATTCTTCATTAATTGTTGGCCTTTTACAACATAACTTGTTTAATAACCTTTTGTGTAACATGTTATACCATGTTTCAGAAACATTTTTAGTGAAATATTTAACTAAAATATTTCAGAAATACTTTAGAAACTTGTGCCTGAAATGTTATATGTTTGAAACATTTGAAATATTTCTGAGACATTTCTGAAATAATGTGTACTGTATGAGTAAGGCAAGCATATATAAGACAGAAGTACTGATTAACGCATGCTCGCTCCTCAGAAAAACATACATGCCCAAACCATCCCCACTCAAATTAGCAGCTGTCTCCTTTTTTTAATGCGGCAGCCGATGCAACAGCGGTCTCCGATATAATAAACACAATCTAAATGTTTGTAATAAAAAGAGATTAATTATGAATAAATGATTTTTTGTACGAACTCTTACCAAAAGACATCTTTCGCCACAGGGTACTTTCAGCGAAAACTTGATTTCCGTCACTAGTGAGAAAAAATCCCATAACGTTTACTTTCGTCTCTAGTGACGAAAGTAAGTTGTTACATATTTTCATATATCAGTCGCCTCGTCTAATATTTTGGCAGCTTATAATTATTAATAATGAAATAAAAAGATGCTCATTAAATTCTATATGCGTTTTTACCTAAACTTTAATAAATTAAAGATAAAATAAAAATGTATAAAAATAGTGCAAATTAAACCAATCTACATCTAGTTTCCTGGTTTTCATTTGTTTATTTGAAGTTTTATCACTTTTGAGAACTGTCAGTTTCAGTTCGTCCTAAATTTAACACATTTTCATGATGTCTGAGTCAGAAAGCGATTGTACTCCCCCAGAAATTATTTTTAAAGCTGAAGAAACCTCTTCAGATTTATTACCGGCCAAATCAAAAAAGAGATATGAAGAAATTTATATCAAATTTTTGGACTGGAGAGAAAAAAATAAAGTGAAATCATTTTCGGAAACTGTACTACTAGCATACTTTGGAGAAATATGTTCAAATTTTAAACCGTCGACGTTATGGTCCATTTATTCGATGCTAAGAACTACACTCTCTGTTTAAAATGATGTTGATATTAGTAAATATCCAAAGTTACGTTCGCTTTTGAAAAGAAAATCTGATGGTTTTAAAAGCCAAAAATCCAAAATTTTTTCGCCTGAAGACATAAAGACTTTCCTAAAGAATGCACCTGACTATAAATATTTAATAACAAAGGTAACGGAATTATTATTTTTATTTTAACAAATACTTAATACATAACTACTAATATTTGTAGGTAGCATTAGTTTTTGGATTATCTGGCGCTTGTCGTTGCCACGAACTAAAAGATTTAACAATAAGCGATGTAAAGGATACTGGAAGTATTCTGTTAGTTAAAATCCGTAATACAAAAACAAAAGTTCCGCGTTCTTTTCATATTTCTGGACCCTTTTATGATATTTCTAAAAAATATATGAGCCTACGTCCCGCAAACATGGATCAAATTAATTCAAGATTCTTTATTAACTATCAGAATGGAAAGTGTAGCAGACAGGTTGTTGGAATTAATAAAATCAGTAAATTTCCTAACGAAATTGCTCAGTTTTTAACGCTTCCGAATCCTCAAGATTACACTGCACGGAAAAAAAATTGTAGAACAAATTTCTACAATTATAGATTTCTTCTCTACAATAAATAGTACATATAGGGACAGGGACAATTTGTAGTAAAAATTTCCAAATATTTGTGGAGAATGTATTGTAGAGTTATTATCTACAATATTTAGTAAAAATATCCAAATGCATCATAAGAATTGTTCTACAAATTGTTATAATTTTTGCTATTCATTGTATGAATTTATATTAAAAATGTATTGCGTTTTATGAAAATAAATACGAAAATTTTACACAATAAATAGTAAAAATTCATACAAATTGTAGTAATTTTTAATAAAACTTGTAATAGTATTCCATAATTATTATAATTATAACCTAGAAAAAAATGTTCCTTAATAAAATATTCAATTTATTGTTTTAATATAAAAGATACAAAGTCTTAATTACATTATGTAATAAATAACAGTAATAATAGCACCCTCAGTCTCAGTTGGCTTTTCTGCACCTGAAAAATATGAAATAAAAATTAATAACAATTGAACTGTTCATACCCTTAAAACGGCGATATTTATCACCTTTACACTGATTTGGATATTAAATGATTAACTCAGATAACTAACAAAAATGAGAAAGTAGGTATGTCACAATTAGACAAAAAAGCATCATTGAATTTGGCATAAAATTCGATCGTTGGGCACAACATTCGATCGTTGGCCACAACTATTTTTTTTAAAATAATCTACTAAGGTTATTTAAATTAGTTATCTAAAGGTAAATTATTCAGAAACAATAATAAATGTACTTACCACCAATAGAATTTATTATTAAAATTTTCTCAAACGCATCGGTGCTTATAATATAATAATGTGTTATAGGTACTCGTATATGTACCATGCTTTGTTATGTGAACATGGCGAACGGCTACTGCTGTCTGGCCATTTATGATCGACGTCAGAAAACGTTGGCCAATAGCAGAATTCTGTTTTGTTCACATGACTTAGAATTTCTACAATATTATAGAATATTTTTGAACAAAATTGAATATTTTTCATAAGAAGGGATGTAAATTATTACTATTTTTTGTAGAGAAAATTACTATTTTTTGTAGAGATAATTATTAATATTTGTACAAATTTTTTCAGAAGTTAGTAGTAGTAATTACGATAATTGTAATAAATTTCTACTTCTACAAACAATAGTAAAATATACTAAACATTGTGGAATTCTTTCCTATTGTTGTAGCATTTTATTCGACAATTCAATTGCTACAATAATGAATAGTTTTTAACTATAAATTGTAGTAAAATTTTCTACAAATTGTTAAGTATTTTTCTACAAGTCTACTACTACAACATTGTAGTAAAATTTTCTAGTCACATTTTTTTCCGTGTGGGCACTGTTTCCGCAGAACATCCGCAACGCTATTAGTGGATGCAGGAGGTGACTTGCTTCTGTTAAAAAAGCACGGTGGTTGGAAATCTAGTAGTGTTGCGGAAGGATATGTTGATGAATCCACGAACAGTAAAAACCAAATACAAACCAAAATTTTACAATCTGTACAAAATAAGGAAACTACTAGTTCATCCGATTATGGCGCATCATCATCTTAAATGACATTTAACAGTAGAACAAATATGTCGGCATCTACCTCAATAAATAAAAAGCTTGAGTGTGATACTCCCATAATTTTGAACAATTGTTCAAATATAACAATAAATCAATATTTAAATAATAAATAATATTTCTGAAATATTTAATTGTTGGTTAATTTTTTGTTATTCCTAACACAAAATAAAGCATTTGCTAAAGTTTGTTTTTTTTTTTTTATTTTAGTAGGTACCTACATAGAGTTCGTAGAAAAAGTATAGTGTTTTACTCGTCGAAAATCATTTTTTCGTCACTCGTGAAACAATATACTATTTTGTCGTTGATATTAATAAAATTACTGAGATGATATATAGTATAACATTTTGTTTCGTTTTTTTAGTGCCAAGCCCTCCAATACGCTGCACCAAAAAACTAGAATGTCACCCTACGCTCGGCGGGCGCAGCATGTGCACTAAGAAAGGCCAGTGCGCTTGCAAAGCGTTCCACCATTTGCACCAAGGCCAGTGCGTGAAAAACCGAGACCTTCACACAATATGCGAGCACGATCATCAATGTTATTGTGGAGCCGATTGCGAAGCAAAAATTGCCTGCATACACAAGAGCTGCACGTGCAAAACTGGACATAAGCCTTACAGGACTAGAAGATGTATACGTAAGAATTTTTTTTTATTCTTTTAAGCCTTCAAATAAATTACAAAATTATCGCTATGAAATAATGACAAATATTTTTGAACCCTTAAAGTGAAAACAAAAATAAAAACCCACTACATGGGTTTGTTTAAAGATTTTATTAACCTTCGCTACACACTTCATAAATAGTCCATAGAACACAGACTGGCGTCTAATAGACCTTGCTGTAATTGATACGTTAATTTTGGTTTTAATGCATTACATTTTCTGATTGTATAGTTTTTGTAATCAAAACAACATATTGTTACACAGGTTTTTGGTATCACAATTTATTTAAATTCAACTTTACAATAACTCCATTCAACTTTAACAATAACTATCCAACTGATAACATTAACGTATATCGTCTATCATAAAACTGAAAACTGACGTCAGGATCATCGGCTTATATAGCTTGCTTGACCCTTCGCGAACCTTCTCGAAATGCCTAGAATTTTCTTGACAAATAATGAGGTTTCCCGACATTTCTGGACTATTCTATCTTCTTTTACTCGTACTATGATGATCGCAGCACACTATAGTATGATGGGTGACATTACACTTCGTTTCGTATTTGTACGTTTCCTATAACGGCCGCAGGCCACTGCAGGGTGTAGTGTAACATTGCTCACTCTTCTCTAATTATTCGTCTCGAATAACTTGATTACTGGGATCTGGTTGGAGCCAACGGGGAGGATCTGAACCACGATATGGCGCTAACTTTTCAATGTGAACTACCTTGGGTTTACTTCTCGTTGACAACTGAATGCAGTAGATCAGGTCGTTGATTTTCTTGATGGCGGTGTAGGGGCCTTCCCAGTTCCGTTGCGGCTTCTGACAAAGTCCTTTTCGGCGCTTGGGATTGTACAGCCATACCTTGCTGCCCCTCTCAAAATGTGTATCTGTTGCACGCCTGTCGATTCTATCTTCTGCTTTATCGGTGTGGGCTTTTAGTCGTTCCCGAGCGAATCCATAGACCTTTGTCCTGCTATTGCATACATCACATTTTTTACACCAATCCGCTATATCCTGTCGGCAATTGACCCAATAAAATATTTTCCGAACTCGTGCCAGTATCCTTTTAGTATCCTTGTGTCCTTCTGAACGGCTGCTGTGAAGCTCCTTCAATACATTTCTCACCTGTGACCTCGGCAGTATCACTTGGCAGGCTACATGGACCCCATCGGGGCTCTCCCACTTCCGATAAAATAGGCCATCGTGAAGATACAGGGAATTCCACACACACAGTAATTGAGCCAAAGTGGGGAAGGTTCCCATCCTGTTAAACTGGATCGGAATCCTCTTGACGACCACCACCCCCCCTGACTGCTTGGTTTCAGGGGGCCTCAATTTCCATCCTATGATTAGTATGCCATTCCTTCTGAAAGGGCTGTGAAGGATGACATATTATCAGCATTTAGACAGGGTTTGCTGAGGGCATTTCCCTGTTTCGTCGTCCGTTTGTATGTCATGTGTGTGCCGTTCTGTGAAAGTCGCCACGTGTGAAAGCTTTCCCATTCTCCTACTTGGCGACTGTAGGGACCTTCGTCCCTAGGTGGTTAGTCGTCAGTTGCTCAGTCCTTGTCTGAATCACGTGATGCGCTCTGTCTAGTATTCTGAAAGAGAATGCTGAAAGAGAACGCTGAAAGAAAATCTTAAATCTACGAGACTCTTGAATTTTGCACCCAAGGTCAATCACTCGCCGCCATAGTCCAGCACCTTTCGTGGTCTGGCATGTCTTCTGTAATCCGCTCTTTCGTATTCTGTGAGTTCTCTTATCTTATCTTATGTTAGGGTGTGTTCGTAATTTTTCGAAGGTGTCTGTGGCCTTCTTTTGTATGAGGTCTAGAACCCTTTTGGATTCTAGATCCCTCCTAATAACGTCATTTCGGATATATCTGTAAGCATTTGAGGCCCATCTTAAGCTGATGTTCTGCTGGCTTTGGATCTTCTTCCTGTTAGTTCTACAGGTGTATCCCCATGCCGTCGATGCGTACATGAGGATAGGTATTATGACAGCCTGTATGAGCCTCATTTTTTTCTGTAGTAAAAGCTTGCTTTTACGTCCTATTAAGCAGTTTAGTCTTGATCTCGCTTGTTTAGTTTTCTTGACTACCATGTCCACGTGTTTTGTGAAGGTGAGTCCTTTGTCCATGATTACTCCTAGGTACCTGGCTGAGTCGGTCCATGGGATGTCCTGTCCATTTATCGTTACTTCTTCTCCTGGGGGGGTGGTGTCTCTTCTTGAACAGCACAGCCTGTGTCTTCTCTGCGTTGATTTTTATCTTTCATCTAATGCACAATTCTTCTATGTCTTCCGCTGCGTCTTGTAGATATCTTGATATGAGTCCTGGCTGTGTGCTCGTTGCTGATATCGCTGTGTCGTCCGCGTAGAGGGATATGGTAGTGTTTTGGGTTTTCGGGATATCTGCGGTATATATGGTGTACAGCAGTGGTGACAGTACCGCCCCCTGAGGTACTCCTGCTTCTGGGGTCCCGGGTCTTGATAGGACATGTCTTGATCCGGAACTGTCTTCCGCCTAGGTACGACCTGAGCAGCCCTGTCATCCCTGCTGTGAACCCTTGGTCTTTCATTTTGAAAATCAGCCCAGCGTGCCATACTCTGTCGAATGCCTTGGCGAATGGAATCCCACTGGGACCAGTAGCCTTTTATAGTTCTACTGTATTTGGCTATCTCTTGCCAAGAAGGTGTAACTTTATTTTTGAGCCATTTTCGGGCAATCTTTAGATCATTGTCTTTCTTCTGTCCCTGTCTCAGACTTTCAAGGGTGATTTCTTCTTTGTCGCCCTCTGGCTTGATAGTGGTTGCCCGAAGAGTAACTTTATCAACCGGTTCTTCTCGTTCTTCGAGCCTTTTACCATACCAGCATTGTTCCTCTAAACAGGGTTGCCCGAAGAGAATGTCTGCGTTGCTATGGAGACCTCTTCGATGCTCTACTTTTTGGTTATTGTTAGAAAGCCGGCTCGATATGGGTGATTGGCTTCTTCGAGACGGATAGCTGCTGTAATTAATTCTTGTTGGTCTTAGTGATGGGCTTGGAAAGATTGATCTATATGATTTTCCAGTCTCTTTCGCTGATTCTCGATTTATAAAATGAGCCATGCTTCTACAGGTTCTTTGAACATGCCCGATTCTCCGGCAATTTAAGCATCTCCTGCTTGCATTTTGGCTGTTTCGTTGCATATTTCGTAGGATATTTAAAATTTGGGGAATAGCATTAGTATTGGCCTCCTTACTTTCCTGGGATTTAATTTCCCTCACTTTTGCGCGAGAAAATCTGGATAGGAGTTTTACCGCTTCATATTCCTGTGCTGCAATCAGTTTCTCCCTCAGCGTCTTGTGATGTTGTAGACGTAGGACTTGCTGCATCTTGTAATCCATCAATGAATGCCCCTATTCCAAATTGTTCTTGGAAATCTTTGGGCGCCTGTGGATAGACCAGATGAATTAATCTTCTTATATCGGCCCCAAATTCCTGTGAACTTTCATTATGTTTCTGATTACGAATTTTTAGCTGGCTTTGAAATACCCGTATCAAATGCTGCTGGCCATACCTTGTCTCCAAAGCTTGGACGAGAGATGAATAACTGGGTTCTTCTTGGGGAAGTAACTGTAACACGGTTGCTGCTTGTCCTCGCAGCGACACTATCAATGCAGCCGCCATCTCCGTTTCAGCCCAGGCATTGGCTCTAGCTGCGGCTTCAAATTGGAGGCGATACGTTTCCCATGTTGTCTTTCCGTCAAACGTAGGTGACTTAATGATCTTGCTAGTATGGATTTGTGAAATTCGGTGTTGAATATGGCTTGGTTCGATTACAGATGAGGACAAGGTAGTGTTTTTAGCTTCCGTGTGGCTTATCAAAGCTAGGCTACGAATTCTTCTTTCTAACTCAACTAGTTTAGTTCTAATTTGCCTTTCGAATTCTACTCTAGCCTTTTCATGTTGTTTTAAATTATCTCGTCGTTGTTCTAAATTAGTTTTTAAATGCGCTTGCTGCTGTTCTAAATTAGTTTTTAAATACTCTTGTTGTTGTTCTAAAACATCTACTCTTATTTTGAGCTGACCAATCTCTTGCTTAAAGGTTTACTGGATTTTTAGCAAAGCAATCATAATTTCTACCTGAGCTTTTTTAAGCCTCTCTTCCTTCTCTTTTTCCTCGTGCCTCCTGCGTCTTTCCTTCTCCTCCTCTTCCTACTTCCAGCGTCTTTTCTTCTTCTCCTCTTCTCGCCTTTCCTTTTCCTTCTCTTCTTCCTTTCTACGCCTTTCGTTTTCCTCCTCTCCTTCCTTCTTACACCTTTCCTTTACCTCTTCTCACCTTACTATCTCCTCTTCTTCCTTCCTACACTTTTCCTTTTCCTCCTCTTCTTCCTTCCTACGCCTTTCCTTTTCCTCCTCTTCTTCCTTCCTACGCCTTGGCTTTTCCTCCTCTTCTTCTTTTCTATGCCTTTCCTTTTCCTCTTCTCGCCTTACTCTCTCCTCTTTCATTTTCAAAAACCATGCTGGTGGGCCTGAAGTATCCATGCCTGCTTCGTACTCAGTGGATCTAGTATTTACCATGAACTTCTACTTTGTATCCCACCGCTGTCACCAATGTTACACAGGTTTTTGGTATCACAATTTATTTAAATTTAACTTTACCATAACTTAATTCAACTTTAACAATAACTATCCAACTGATAACATTAACGTATATCGTCTATCATAAAATTGAAAACTGACGTCAGGATCATCGGCTTATATAGCTTGCGAACCTTCTCGAAATACCTAGAATTTTCTTGACAAATAATGACGTTTCCCGACATTTCTGGACAATTCTATCTTCTTTTACTCGTACTATTACTTATGATGATCGCAGCATACTATAGTATGATGGGTGTGGGTCACTAAACCTGACCCCCAAAAATTTTTTTTTGCAAATTTTTGAATTTCTATTAGCATAAATCGTTTGTTCGTTGTTTGT